CTCGGCGGCCTGGCTCCCCCCCCACTCCGTAGTTCACCCGCGGAGCGCTTTGGTTCCTTTCGCGCTGATTCTCGGCGCTTTCAGGTGAAGCTCGCGGTGCGTGAGGACGTCTTTTTGTGCGTTCGTAGCAGGTGCTGGGAAATCCGGAGCTGTCGGGGTGTCCCGCGGGGGTTCTGTCGGTGGCGGTCCCGGGCCATTGGGCTGCGAGGAAGGTGTGCGGGGTTGGAGATCACCGCCCGCCCCCCGCAGCGCGCCTTGGTGTTTCCAGCTGGGGACTCGCCATCTCCGGGCTCGCTGTGCCGGGATGACGCTCGCCGGAATGCGTTGGACGGTTCCTCAAATACAGCAGTATGATTTACTGATGTATTTTTTTGTGTTTTTCATAAATAACAATGAAGTATTAATTTCTTGGGAAATGCTTCTAAAAAGTTGTTAAAACTCTGGCAGGTATGACAGGAACGTCGCTGCGGCCACCCTGCTTTAAACAGCCCTTTTTTGCGGCTGTGACCACGCTGCCATTATTGTGAGGGCACATTCCACGTGTGAAGAAATAAATCACAACGAGCGATAAGAAATGCAACCATGTGATCGTGATGCTTCTTGAATTGCTTAGTTGTTATTCTGACGCTGCAAAAATATGAGCTCGTAATTGAACCAACGAAGAATGTCACATTGCCATGTTTTACGTGATAACATTGGGCATCAGGCTCTTCCACTGAAAAAATTCCTGGCCTTCATAAAAATGAAATTGCTCATGTATGTGGAAAAATTAAGATGACTTGGAAATCATAGTTATGTTCCTTACATGTCTTCTATCTTCCCATTGAGTTTGCCTGGTTTAGTATTTCTTAAATAAGTTAAAGCTAATAGAATTTTTGATTAAGTGGTAATTTTCGTATTTTCATCCCAATGATACATTTACTGGAGACGATGTAAAATGAACTGTATTTCATACATTCTCTTCAGGAAACTGTTAAAAACCTAATTTGCAAATAAAACCCAGTGGGAAGCTGCTGTTCCTTTTTTTTAGTGAGTTATGACTCCCTTACCATGAGTTGTCAAAAGAGGGGAGGAAGACAGAATAACTGCTGAATAAATGAAAGATGTGTGTCACATTCCTGTGTGCCTGTGGTCACAGGAAAAGTGCCCTTTAATTTTGCGGGGAGTCTCATAGCAGAGATTTCATAAATGGAGCAGGCTAATCAACAGATAAAGGACCAAATAAAGTACTTTCTTTGCTTTTTTGGGACTGACTGAAATTGAGCACCCACTCCTTTTCTGCTTTCACCTTCGAAAGTCTAAAACTAGCGTTGGGCCTTAGGCAAAGGGAGTGATTTTTGGCCATTGAGCTCGTAGATTGACAGATAAGTTACTCAACAAGCATGTTATCCCCAAGCCATTTTACTACCAGACATTAGAAGGATCAACAATACCGAATTCTAGTGATGTTAACCCTAAAGCTGATTTGAAGCTGAATCAATATTGAACCCCATCTTCCCCGTGGGGGTACTGTGAAAATCTTAGTGGGACTGGTTGTTAGTAGAACAGAGTGTATTTTTCTATTGCTGTACTAGTAACTTTGGTTATTCTGTAAAAACCTTGCTCGTTATTTTAATTCTAGCTCTGTAATTATTTCAGTACATAGTTAACTATGATCACTGCCTTTCTGGGTGCTTCGTTTTTTAGAAGGGGGGAAAGAAGAGGCTGAAGAACATTACCCAAACTGAGTCTGTCGTCTGTATTTGTTTTAAGTTGCACCCTAGTGATTAGAGTAGGATGGTAAACATGAATGTGGATTGTGGATCTGGGTTGCAAATTCTTAACATTTTTAACTAATCTAGATTGTTTCTGAACTGCCATATTGCGGTCGCTGTCATCTATGCTGTCCTGCTGACCTCTTAGAAATTTGGTAAAAGAGCGTGTCTTCACCGGTTAATTGCCATTGCGCTCAGCAAACTTTTGCTGTCCAGTGCTGTGGCCAGCTGAACCCATCAGTCTCTGTTTTCCTGTCTGCATATTTGTTTCACGAATGATGTCAGACGAGCTTCGGAAAAACCACTCATGGGTTGATACTGTCAAAAAGCCATGAGTGTACGTAAAATGTTGGCACAATTAAGATTACTTATATTGTTGCCTTTCCAAAGCTACAGATGCTGCTAATCAAACTAAAGTCTGATAGTCTAGAAAACTTGATACCTGGTTCTTCTTCTACCCAGTATTTCTTTATAAAAGTTATGCTCACGAAGTTACAACGTCGATGACATATAGGTAGGGTGGAAGACATGTCTGCCCCTGTTTTTCCTCACTTGTTCTTATGACAGCTGGCAGTTGAAGGAAATTGAATCACAGTCTTTTCTCTGCCAGGGGAGTTCTCTTTCATTCTCCTTACTGCTATCTTTCTGCGTAACCCAGTTCTGGAAATTACCCCTTCATCCTCAGTTGCACGTTATTCTGCCACTTTTTGGCACTGACTTGAGGCTCTTCCTGTTACAATTTCATTTCCATTTTAAGGCATCGCAGCAGCAGTGTTTTGCTGTTGGAGGAGGGCTTGCTGCGATTTCCATGTGAGCCTGCTCATTCATTTGGACAAGTAAACTTGCTGACCAATGGTCCAGTGTGTGGTTTCTTCAGGAAGCACTGCATAGCAAGAACAGTATAGGTACAGTATGCATGATTGCTTCTGGATGTTAGAGGGAAAAGTGGTGCCTGTTGTTTTTCTCTTCCGACCTCTGTAGTGTTCTTGAATTTTAACAGATTGGTCTGTAGTTCTGTCCTTAGGTAGAATGCATCGTCTGTGGCCTGGGAGGAGCAGGAGTGAATGGCTATTTTATACGTTTGCTGCTGTTTCCTCAGAGATGCTGAGGAAGTCCTATTGCTGTAAACAGTAGCAAGAGTACAGCCTGTAGAAGTGTCCTAGTTAAGAACTGGGTGGTACTTTGCCACTGCGGATTGCCAATGCCACCTTCTGTTTGGTGTTTGCATGCAACAGGCTGCAAAGTAAAGCATTACAACTTTATTTTGTGTCAGAAATACTGCCAAAAATATGATAGTGACTTGAGGTGTTTTGAAAGGAAGGAGCTAGCGTGGAAATGAGGAAGTAGGGAAACAAAAAGTGGTTCAGGAGGGTAACAGAGAAGGCAAGGTGAAAAGAAAAGGGTAAGAAAAACAGTTTATATGATAGCAACCCCTTGATTGTACAGTCTCAACAAATTACTGTTATTAATTTATATTTCCAATCTAGTTGTTATGATTTGACTGCCATCTGTACTGGGCTTCTGTGATTTCCTTCATAGTAACCCTGTAACACACCAATTGCTGTAATGTCACGGGCAGCCATGATTCACTAACTAGTGTACAGGTACAGCCATAATTACTTATTTACAATCCCTGCACTGTGAATATTGGCAATTAGTCCCATACTGACTAACAGGCAAGCCATTTCCCAGCTTTAGAGAATCATGCATGATTCCATTTCTCCTAACTTTGAGTTGCCAGTCATTATCTGTTTCTATTTATTTGAGGTATTTTTCATGTTTTCTCCTGACAATCCGTCCATTCCTTTTAGTCCAGTTTTCCTTCATTTGAAATTACTGTAAGAAAAAGTTGGCCTCATCTATCACTTCCTGCACAGCACAGCAGAAATTCAGTTCTATTTCCTATTTATGGATCTGGTCTTTGTTTGTCTACATGGAGGAATGCCAGACTCTGTTCCCCTTCTTGTTGTAAACAGGCGTGTTTTAAGAGGAAAGAGCCTTGCTAAGCTGATGGCAAGAAAGAGCAGGGGGAAATGGAAATTAAATAGGTGAGAAAAGGTGGTATCAATTACCTTATGAATCAACGAGCTCCAAAGTTCAGGAGTTTATTATTAATACATCTTGATAACTAACTTGTGAGTAGGAAGCAGCTCCAGCTTGTGCAGTACATGGGGAGAGTCTGGTCTTCTCAGAAGAACAAACATAGCAGTCCATCAGTGTCAAAAGCCAATGTGCAAGGATTCGTCATTTGTAAATGCATTTCGTTGTTTCAGAGTTCTTTAGCACATATGAAAGCATAACCTGCTTTTACACCAAGTTTGGGGATTTTATGTCACTTTCTCTGTGGCCAGTTGTTCTAGATTTGCTAGCATACAGCTGAATGCTGAATTAACGGTGTGGAGCCCCCTGCACAAAAAGTAGCCTCCACAGATGTGTCTGAAGCCTAGGTTATATTTTGCCCTGATCTTATTGTAGCCTTCTTTCCTTTCTTTATAATACAGACACAATTTACATATTTTATAGGAACTTATCTGTACCTCAAGACACTGTTCCGTATTCGTAGAAGACCTTGCGGACGTAAAAGACCAAACTGAGAGAGGAAGATGTAAGGCAATACAAAGCAGCATTTTTTAATACAGTTGACAGCGTACCCGTAGTCTAAACACTGTTGGCTTGTTGTCTCTACAAATTTAAAGAAAGGCTGGAAGAAAAACAGTGATGTTGCTGCAGATATTTGCAGATAGTTCTTCCAAGTGCTTTTGCTTGGGAAGAAGAGAAAGTTAAAGCTTTTTGGAAAAGTTGAAAAAGGTCCATTGTTTGGAAACAGAGAAAATGGGAATCCTCGTCATGATGCTGAATAGTGGTGCTCTGAGGAGGCTGCGTTGTAAAGAGCCTTGAAAGTGCAGTCAAGTTAGCTTAAATGATATGAGAGACAGTTGGAAGAAGTGAATTATAAAATGGTAAAATTTGGGATCTATGAAAAGGGCTTTGCTGCTGTGCTCCGAATGCCTGTGAGCAGAACATTATTGCCATTTTCAAGGCAAAAGGAAGTGCTGTGATGACCAAGCCAGGAGCTGTGAGCTTGGGCAAGTGCCATGCAAAGGTGTTATTTCAGAGAGAAGGTACGCATTCAGCGTGACTGGAGGTAAGTAGTTAGGAGAAACTAGAGAGATGTAGATCAGATGAGATGCTGGACTATAGAAGAACAGTGGTGATGGACCACAGTAATAATGAAAGAGGTATTTTAGACATTTTGAGGAAGAACTTTGAGCCCTGTTTTTTGTCAGCATACAGCTGGGATTTTGTGGGAAGGTATTGTGCAGCTTCAAATTTGGACAGACAAATATCTCATTTAATCATTTGCTATGCTCTCTTTAGGACTGATAGTTGTTTTCCACAAAAATGTCTCATGAATAGGACTAACAGGACTATTGTATGAAATGCGTTGCTTTAAAAATATCATTACACTAAAGATCTCTCAGCCAAAAGCAAGACAAACTGCAATTGGGGATAGAAAGGTATCAACCCTATTGGCCTGTTTCATGCAGCAAGAGCATGGCTTTTCTGAAATCAGATAGGAAACAACAGCGCTTAAATTTTCTGTGAAGCATTTTGAAGCTTGGTTTTTTACAAACAACTTGAATGTATCTGGTTTCACAGAATCACAGAATCACAGAATGGTAGGGTTTGGAAGGGACCTCTGTGGGTCATCTAGTCCAACCCTCCTGCCAAAGCAGGGTCGCCTACAGCAGGCTGCACAGGACCTTGTCCAGGCGGGTCTTGAATATCTCCAGAGAAGGAGACTCCACAACCTCCCTGGGCAGCCTGTTCCAGTGCTCCGTCACCCTCAGAGGGAAGAAATTCTTCCTCATGTTCAGGTGGAACTTCCTCTGCTTCAGTTTGTGCCCATTGCCCCTTGTCCTGTCACTGGACTCCACTGAAAAGAGCTTGGCCCCATCCTCCTGACACCCACCCTTGAGATATTTATAAGCATTTATAAGATCCCCTCGCAGCCTTCTCTTCCTCAGGCTGAACAAGCCCAGCTGCCCCAGCTGTTCCTCATAGGACAGATGCTCCAGTCCCCTAATATCTTTGTGGCCTTCCTCTGGACTCTCTCCAGTAGCTCCTCATCTTTCTTGAACTGGGGAGCCCAGAACTGGACAGAGTACTCCAATAATATTCCTACTTCAATAATATTCCTATTCACATTCAGTTGGAATTGCAGTACTGAGGTACCTTTGGATGAAACACTTGGATATATACTGAACAGAAAAGAGGCATTCACCCCAGAATACACTTTGTGTTTCTAAATAATCCCTTTTGAAGATTAAAAGTATGCCAAATCTGCAAACAAAACCGAGGAACTAGAAAATGATGTTCATTGTTCTGTTATCTCAGCTCTCAATGTCATTTATGAGTACATAAGAACACGTTGTTGATTGAAATGGATTTTTGCTATTTCAGGTATGTAATTACAGGGATGCCCTTGAATATTTCCTGCCAGCTAAAAACCCCTCCAACCTTTAAAAAAATAATCTTTTGTTAGCTATATGGTAGAAGGTAGAAAAGAGTAAATTAAAACTTGAATGCTAGTACAGTTCATTCTGTAAAGCAGATTATTAAAATATTTTTGTAACACTTAAATCTAAAAGCAAACCTTTGTTTTTCTTTCAGATGAATGTCTGTCGGTTGCGTTTAACAGTACCACCTGATGAAGGTTTACAGCCTGAACAGGGAGCAAAGGAACCTGAAAGAAAGAAAACGGTAAGTTTTAAGTATCAAAATTAAATGCTGTCTAAACAAGGAGTAAATATTGCTACCCACATAAGCTGCTATGAGTTGTTTTGGGAGTCCAAACCCAGTTATCTTGGAAGAGTGAAGCATGTGGAAGCTGAGCAAGTCAGCTGTGAGCTTTGAGCCTGAGCCTTGGAGTTGGGGATAGCGAAACTGCATGTAAAATAGGACAGTAGTAGGGGAACAGTACAGAGATTGAAGGTGATTTGTGACTGAGGTACCTTTAATACTTGGTCATTTAATATTTATGTATTAAAGAGTAGGAAACTGCTATCATGAGCAGGGTCTTGCATTAAACAGGATCTTGATCTTCACCTGGAGGGGATTTTATGTTTCATGTGGGCTGAACAGATTTGAGCCTTAATGTGTGTGGGAGCTGGCTTGTCTGGCACGGAGATATTCTGCTCTGTCGGTTAATTTTGGTAACGGGTCAAGTACTGATAAGAAAGACAAAATAAAGAATTCAAGATTGTTCTGAAGTGAAAATGATTTGAAGGTCATGTGCATGAAAGGGTTCAGAAGGGCAATTTTTTTTGTAGGAGCAAGTAGTGTGCACATAAAAAAAGAATCTTACAGCTGCTTTGGTGCAGAACTTCTTTAAGAGCTGTTTTAGAGCAATAGATGATGCTGAATTTGTCCTAAGGATGGAGACTAGAAAGGGGACCTGGACAGGCTCCACAACTTCCCTACATTTACACTTTGATAAGCCAAAACCAAACAAGAAATTGGCTGAGTTTACCAGACCCAGTGTCTGAATGGTAATATGACAATAGGAGGCAAAACAACAAGAGGGTTTCTTTGAAACAATTTCTTAGTGGTACTCAGATGCAAAGGTAACTGTAAAAGGACTCAGAAAGACAAACATTTTAAAGCAATAAAAATAAAAGCAAAGTAAAATGTTCAAAGTAAAAAAATACTCCTTATCAGATATTTCTTGTCCTGGGATCTTGTAGACAGTCAACTTTTCATACATTGTTCTGGCAGAGTAATAGGTCCTTGAGGATCTAGAAATGTTACTTAGAGAACGGATTAAAGAGGCCTTAATGCAAACCAAATATGGGCCACCTTTAAATAGTAGTAATTCATTTTGTACAGAGGTGTTTAGTTGTGACACTTAGAGTAGCTTCCCCTGCCACTTACTCTGTCAGTCTCTGTCAGTTTGTATCTGATTGTAGCAACTGTCAGACTGGCCTAAGCATGTGGGCCCATTGTCCTGACAGTAATGTACATTTGTTTTTGAGGAGGATAGATATTGACTCATGGTTTACTCACTTTGCTGTGAGTAATGTAATAATAAGAAAGAAGTGAGAATGATTAGGGCTTGGACAATTTGTAGTGACTTCCTTATGTGACCAATTTTTTTCTCTGTGGGACCTTGTATTTAATGAGAGCTATGTCTCCTCTATAATGCAAGTAAAGGCAAGTGAGTTTTATATCAGAGTATGTTAAGGAGAGGATATGAAAGGTAATAAATACATCATTTGGCTCATCTTACATTCCAGTATATTGAACAGTGATTTTTAAGAGATGGGTCCTTTCCAGTTGAGACCAAAAAAATGGTGTGTAATTTAATTATTGTATGCTCTGAGTAGTTTTCTAAACTTCAGTACTTTTACACAATTTAACGACTTTTAGAAAACATATGTACAGCCTTCAGAGCTAGATGGGATCTAATTAGTCAACTTTATAGCAATTAAAAAACACAGTAATTGTGTCATCTACTTGTGTTTTATGGTCTTTGTGTAATTAAAAAAGTAGCCCTACAGATTGTGTAGTCATAGTCCATAGAAGCAGTTACAAAAGAATTACTGATCATGAACAGTTCTTTCCTCATGTCTCTAAAACGAGATGGTAATGTGTTATCTGTAGATTTTTATTGTCTATGTAATCTGTTGCTTTATGTACTTGAATTAGTTACACAGTAACTTAACAGTGCACTCAGGACTCTTGACTAGTCATGCTGTGATACTTTTCTTTTACTGCAAAATTTAATTTAAAAAAAAAGCATCTCCTAAAAGCAGTGATCAGGTGCCTCTGCTGATCCATCCATGTTCAACTGACTCAATGTTAATGAAATTGCTTAAGGCACTTTGAGAAGAACAGATTTTTGCAAGTGTTAGATAATCCTCACATAGTCCTAGGAGAACTGTGCTACCTTCTTGGAAACAGTGATAATAGAGAGAAATTAGGGAACTGCTCAGTTTTCTGCCTTCCACTTTACAATTTAAGGTCAAAAAATACAGGTGCACCAAGAATCAAGTTTAACAGCAGGTTTCTTGTTGGAATCTAGAGTTCTGTGCTGTCTTTAAATACTGAGTATTAAGAAAATGGGAACATGCAAAGTGTTTTTGGTGTTTAAAACATATTAGTGTGAGTTACGGAAATGAACTGCAGGGGTAGTCTGTGGGATTGCACAGTTTTTGCTGGAGCACTCGGGCAAATCAGGCAGCCTGAGCTCGGCTGCCAGACACTCTCCTGTTTGGGCAGGAGAAGTGCTGAAGAGAGACAGACTTGTCCCTGCCTCTGCCTGCTGCTGGTGAGGGAGGAGAGCAGAGACCGTGCTGTGTCAAAGGGAGGGTCAGAAAACTATAGATATACCATGGAGTGACATCTGGTTTTAATCTCCTCTTTTAAATCTCTCACTAGAAGGAGGTGATTTTGAGCTGCCCTAATGTGACATAGTAATGGCTTACTGACTCTTTGTTACTTTTCTGTATGTTTCTGGGGCGCAGTACCATTTAAGAGATGGTTTAGTTGCAAAATCATCTAGTGAGCTGCACAGAGGCTCTTGCTGGTGCTGATCTTCCCAATAGCTTGTTTTGGAGCTTGATGTCAGATCAGAACTGGTTCTTTATTGGTTATGTTAGTAGCTGTTAGCTTAGCCTTTTTCACTGTAGTCCAAGTTTAGCAGAAAATGTATGCTATATTTCATTAAATCTATATCAGTGCATTAAGTCTCTAGAATGACTTTTTTATTGGTATACATCCATGAAATAAAAATGAATCAGTGTGAGAGATAAAAACAAAGTGATGGAACTGGGCAGTTTTGTTGGGACAGAGTTGCTGCCGGCATTACTGTACTAGGACGGCCTCTCTCCACCTTTAGTGAAAAGCTGGCAGATGGTACACAGTTAGAAGGCGATCTCAAAAACTGAAAGGGGAGTGAGCCTGTGCTCCAATGTGTCATGCTGGATTTTTATATTCATATTTAGGCTATGATACCTTGAAAGAAGCATATGAGAACTGAAATCTCAAGTTAAGGCTGGGTGGTTGGTTTGTTTCCTTTTTTCAGGCTAAAAGCCTACTGCTGAAGATCTCTGAATTGTTCACACTGTAGGCAGAGAGAATCTGAAACTATCCTGGTTTTGTTTCATTACTTCTGTTAATGATAGACAATGGATGACAGTAGTGTGAGGCTGTTTACTTCACCATGAAGTACAAAGGAATATTGTGCTTCAGATTGTATGCAAAATGTGCATGTCCTGAGGCCGGCCTTCTCTTGCATAATAAAGGGCCACCAGACAATTGTATTGTCCTTGTTTGGGATTGGGTTTATTTTTATCCCTCAGTCCCTTTCTTCACTGTCATGGCTAAATTTGGAAGTGTCAATGGAAGCTGCAGCTAGGCAGTTGAGGGCGGAGTATGGAGATATGTATAGGCAGATTTTTCTTTTTCATTTGGACACATGGACAAGAGAATGAAAAAGAGATAACATTCTAGAAATTTGTGTCACTTTCCTGTCTTTGTGGCTTTCAACAGAGCTTGAGCAGTGTTCAGTCTTAAACTCTAGTTGGTACTTTGTCTGTATATATCCCCAAACTCTTTAATTTTCTGATGTTTTTAAAGCATCACAACCAAGAGGTGAAACTCTTTTTGCTTCCTAAGCAGGAATAAAAAAGCCTAGCAAACATCTTTTCACCAGCAAAAAAGTAGACTGTAAAGAAGCCAGAAGAGGAATTTGCTCCTGTATATGATGGAGAGAATCAAGCAGAAACTTGAGTCAGGCCTAGATCAAAGAATACGAGTGCAATGAACATGGGGCTGTTGTGTGCATTGAATCTAGGACAGTGCCGATTTTCCCTGCTGATCTGGTGCTGCCAGCCCACTCCCATCAGCACAGCAGAAGTTGTGTCATATAAATGTGGTTCACCTGCTACAGGTGGCTGATGTTACTGTTTCTCAGCCTCTCCAGTGCTGATTGTTTGATTTTTTGATGTGTGCTAATGAAGTGACACCTTAATTAAAAACAGCACTACCTGAAAACCACAGAAAGAATTCCACTGACTTCTGTGGTTACTGCTGTATTTGTTGTATCTTACTTTCTTAGTGTATAGACACTGGTGTTCTGTGTATGGATTTTGTTGAATAGATATGACTTTGTATAATGCCTGTCACTTCTATTTTTTGAGATAGGCACCTGAATTCTACATTTCAAGGAGCTTAAAAGTTGAAATGTGTTAAACGATGCTTCTTATTTAGTGCCATGAATTTAAGAACACTCATGTGTATGTCTTGGCATATTTTCCCTATTTTAATACTATTTATATATGAAACATCCCTAAATGTGAGTTTCATGAGCTGTAGAGGAATATGGAAAAGCATAAAAACATAGCTACCTTTTGTCAGAGCACAGTAACTTTCCTTGGTGAGCTCAATATTATAAATTTGTCATTTTACTGAACAGAAAATATGTAACCTAAGTAACAATGTGAATGTTCTTGTTCCTCGTATAACTAGTGAACAAGCAAAAGATAACTGGATATTTCAGAAACCTCTGGAATGTGGCAGTTGAGGAAAAGATAAAGCCTTGCTTAACTGACATAGTTCTGTTTAAAGGAAGAGTTTTTAGATGGTGTAGATAAGCAGAAGATCATGATTTAACAAATTTTAAGGCCATATGAGTACTAAACCCAGAATTGTGCTAATCACTACATTAGATGTCCTTTTTCCTCAAAATAACATACTGCTTC